ACTAAGAAAACATGATTAGATTATGCTGTGGAATGACTTATGTTTATATACATATGGTGGGTGGATGTATTCATATAAAAATCTGTTTGATGTCCATTAATCAAACATGCCCGTGATGGAATATAAAATGTACCACTGATTGCAGCAACTCTGAAATGAAACTTCTCAGCTCTTTAAAATTAACTGAAGTCCCACTGCAGCAAAGTGGCTGGCTAATTATTTCTACGTCATTAACCAGGGGTTTTGTCAGCATGTAGAGACCTGAATTCCCCTGTAACCGAAGACAGATTTCAGTGCAAGTCAGGCACCAGAATCTCTCTGTAAAGACCTCAAGGTCTTTACAATCTAAATAGACAGCAAAATACAAAAGGGAGGAGACGTAGGACTTTATTATAATAATTTTAATTCCTTAATAAAGGCCTTCAACAACTCCCTGGAAGGGGAAGTGGAGCTTGGGTTTGTAAGTGTCCAGTTGGAGCACCGTGCAGTACCTGCAAGGTGGAAAGGAAGGTATTCTTAATAGGTTAAGAAACACAAAGTGCCTCAGGGATAAGGGAAGACTGGACATCCGCATTGCTTTTTCTTTTACTACAGAGGAAAGCAGAGAGACACGGCAAATCGGTGGTGCAGGTAGCCTTGCAGCAGGATACAGACAGCCCTGGGGCCGCTGGGTCCACTGGGGCTAGGGCAGCCATCTCTGACCAACACTACTGCAATGTCAGGTCTCTGATCTCTGCGGGTGTGCTGAAGTGAGCAAAAAAAAAAACTTCCTGCCCAAATGTTGCTCTTTTGTGCGATGAGTGAATCTCTTCCAATGTGTATTATGAAATGACTGAATGGGGATGGAGTGGAAAGCGAAAGGTAGGAGCCAGTCTTTGCAGAAGTGCTCGGTTAAAAGACAATCCTGCGGGCAGCAGTGGTCGATGGTGAATATCGAGTGGACCTTTTAAGAGAGAATGGGGGAAAAAAAGGAAAGACAAAGCAATTGTCTCTTTCTTTGCCAGTGCATGAAGGGTTAAATAAAAAGAAGAGAGATGAACTTTTTGAAAACTCCAGTGGTTTGGATTCTGTTCAACGCTTGAATCAACCCATCCCTGACTTGAAAAAACAGGACAATGATGTCCACTTGGCTCAGATGCAGACTCCATGGATTTTTATTACCGGCGGCTGGAGTTCAAGATGAGTGAATTGTAAATAAGGAGAAATGGAACACAATAAAATAGTCTCCAGAGATTTACCTAGAAAACATCTGGAGTTTTGGCTCTAACATACAGAAATCTATACCAATGGGAACACAACATATTACTGTGAAGTGTAGTAAGAAATAGCACGGATAAATGAGAAGTTAAGGCCTCCTATATATCACAATAAGATATTTCAGCTCCTTTTGGTTGTGCAAGTTTCTAATACTCTGAAGTCCTGCCAAATATTTCATTGTTACCTTATTAGATGTTCTTGGTTTACTACCTTTTGCTTTGTAAAGCACTGATTTAGTGTCACTTAATTTAATTTTTAAAAACATAACCAGATGTCCTATTCATTTGGCATATGAGAAAACAATATCGGAAACATGTGCTTTTATGCATTCCAACACAGATACTAACATTTCTTTCTCTTGCTAAAACATTCTCGCTTCTGAAATAAGTTCCCCTTTTATCTTTGACATCAAATGCCACACTGGCACGCAACACTATTTTGATCATTATAAGTCTCTCTTAATGCTTGTATTTAGCCAAAAGATCCTTAATTTGGGGGTCTTTCTCCTGGATTCCCACTGAGCTTTTCATTTCTTTTACAATACTGACATCATTGTTTGCATGCTGGACTGACCTGGCCCACTCTCTTTAATGAGAGACGACGGCGGGGGGAAGCACTTGAAGCAAGGGGCCCTCCCAGAGCTGGAGGTAACCAAGCGTAATGGTATGCTCCACAACCTACCGGCATTGTTTAGGTAAAAGAGTTTAAATACTGGCAGCACTATGACCTGGAGAGCAAAGGTTAAGGAACCTCCCAAAATTCAATCTGGGTGGTGTTCAGCTCAGCAGGGACATGCATCTCCTCCCAGTCAATGTTTAACTGCCTCTCTTTCCTTTTTGCCAGGGGTGCAATATCATCCTGTTTAAATTTAATAGTGGAGAATGAGCCACTTGGCACCTGACACAGAAAAAGTGTAGATGAAATTCTCTCTGCACTACTGAAACTTTGAAATCTGTTGCTTCTCGATGTATTTTCCAGAGAAGACTAACATACATCTGTGATTAGCAACTGTTCTAGAATGGCTATAAGTCCGTAGGTTACTCTGACTTGAGAGTTGCTTTTGTTTGTGGTTATGATATTTCCTTGGCCAGCTGGGGGATTATATTTAGATGGTTCACAGCCCCATAGTTTTATTGCTTGCCAAAATAGTAATTCTACATTTGGCTAAACCTGTAAGTTTTCTTTTTAAATAATTTAGCCAAAAACTAAGGCTAGATGCTGCTATTGTGTCAGTACCGCAGGCACAGATGGGTCTTTCTGTGAATGTTTACAGTCACCAGAACCAAGCTGGGCACACAATAGTACCCGGGTGATGGACAGACTCCCACTCTGCCCGACTTTAGCACTAAGGAATCTTTATTCCTCTCTCTCATTTTAGAGCAGCCTTTTTCTGCTGTAGTCAAAGACGATACTTCAGGCCAGCTCTTCAGAAGCTCCCCACTAGCCTGAGGAGGAGCCTAGCACTCTTTATGTCCAGCATCCAAACTCTGGCTGCTTACCCAACAGCGGAGGCGACAGTTCCTGGTTTCTGGGAATGATGCCCTGACTAAGAACTTAAATGCTCCTTCAAAATCTGGGTCTGCTGACTACAAACCCCAAAATCCATCTGAATCAATAGGCCAGATGTTCCCAATCCCAGGCACAGCTGAGAAGAAAGCCAGGGCTTCAACTTGGGTTCAACATTCATACTGATCCTCTATGAGTGCAAGCCCTGCCCTCGCAAAGTTAAACTCCGCCTAATCTCAGATGCTACTGAGCAAACTTGGAGAAGTGTCTCTGTCTCACTGTGTAGCCCTAGAGCCCTCTGTACCTTTAGTTTTCTCCCACAAAGTTCATTGTACTTTCCCCATTCCATCATAACATTTCTAACAGTACACTTGTATTTGCTACCAAGTTCCTTATAAATCACAAGCTGTTACAAAGATGGCCGCTGTATAAACCTTGAACTGTTGAATTGGCACAAAAGAGTCAGTGAGGTTCAGCCAGCTCTTACGGATCAACTTCTCATATAGGCTCCACTTTAACACATGAAGGATGTTGGATATGAATGAAGAGCAAGAACAGGTTGTTCTCCTTAACTGTGTCTTCTTCATTCCCTGGATGCTGAGCTCGCCACATCCAAAATGGGCCAGGAGAAGCAGCAGCTGGGATACCAGCTACAGGGTGCTGCCCTCCTACCCAAAATTGAATATAGTGGTGGGTGATCAGCCTCTACCCCAACCTTTGTCCTCCACCAGATGTGAAGACAAGGCAGGTGGGGAACTTGTGCCAACTGTGAAAGCTTAGGAGACCTTGACACTCTTGCACGCTGCTGCCTAACCAACAGCCACACAAGCAGCCCAGGATAAAGGCTTCACCACAATTTCACCACAACTTCAAGAGCCTGATGCATCCCTGCAGTGGTGCAAAGAGGTCTGGTAAAAAGCCCATCCATCACAGTTGGAGGGTGCCTGCTGACTGCAGCGAGTGTTGGATTGTGGCCCTAAAGAGAGGCAAGTATCTGGCTGAAGAAGGCTCCGTGCACCCAACAGTTCCAAGTCCTTGCTGAACCTGAACCAAAATACAGGTTGCATTTCTGAAGGCACAAAGTAGGATTACAATAGTGGGGCCCAGGCGCAGCATTTGTAACACGAATCATGTTAGTGTCCTAACAGGCACAGTGGCAGGCTTAAAACAGTTTCTGATCCATCAAAGCCTAACCAGCTTGGTAAGATCACACACCTTAGCCACCTCTTTGTTCCTGTGGCCTTCTTCAGCTAAACACAGAAGCAGAATCCTGAACTGACTCCCCATGTTTAACTGGTTAAAATAATCTTGGAGTCCTCAATTCTGTAATTACTGGACAGAGCCACCACTTTCTTCCCATCTTCCAACCACCAATTAACCAGAGACTCTGATATGCATCATAATAAAAATGCCTTTCTCTTACTGATCATGCAAAAATGAGAGCGTAGACAATATAATCACGTTATAAATAGTATTCGAATAATAGCCAAAATTTATTCAGATGATGATTCACACACTGAATAAGTAACAAATGGGAAATTGATCAATTAAGGAAACGGACAGACTAACAGTTGCAAGGTAACAAAGTGAGCTAAATGACAATTAGATAAATTAATAGAAAGCTTCTAGGTGCACTGACACATAAGGAGTAGGGGAAATAGGGAGGTACGGATAATTGACGTTCTGCAATCAGGATACAGCTCTGTTATGAGACAAAAGAAAGACTTCAGGCAAGCAGAACCTATGGAAATCAGATATTACCCTTTGACACTCTTCGCAGAGGTCTATAGTGGTATTTCAATCACATCGCTCTGACCTAACGGAGCACCACTGCATCAAACAGATACTTGCTTTAAATACATGCAGGATGCTTTTGCTATGAAAAAATACATATAATAAAATCTGAATAAGAATGAAAGCCAGCTAGAAGAACTGACTGGAATTAAAACTTTTTAGAAAACTGTTTAGAGTCTATGAGAAAGTGATCATTTTGCTTTAAAATGAGCAGCACAGGCTAGCAGGGGACTATAGCCACATCACTGAAACAACTGTTGTTGTAGTCTCAGCAGTTGTGTAATACATGCTTAGGGCAGAAAGACATAAAGGACATTGCATCCATGAGTTAGTTGCTAAATGATGCCAACACACTCTAACATGTCAGCCTATATCAGTCTTGTAAAGGTTCATGCGCAATTTCCATGCCAGGTTATCATTCGCTATGCCTTCCCACTACGAACCTCATTTTGGTGTTTGATCCCAGCCAGATTTTCTTCGTCACCTCTTAAGGAAAAGATCTGATGTTTCACCCCCAGGCCAAAGTTATAAGCATCTGGAAACGGTTGAATGACAATATTCATTTTGCCTGAAAAAACACTTTTGCTAAGTGAAGCCTTGATCTGCAACAGAAACACATAGGTTTAAGGAACAGCAACAATGACGGAGCGTTTGCCATCTCCCCTTTTCCGCAGAGGTTAGAAAGCCCTCTTTCTCTGTCCTGCAGTTTTTCCAGTTGTTCATCTCCATCAGAGTTGCAGCTACTCAAACACAATCATTCACCTAAACTCTCCTCCCCACCCCCCCACCC